GTCTGAAAATAGGAATTCCCAGGTTATGCCCTAGTGAATGATGATAAGGAAAGCCCCAGGAATGAGTTCTGAGGAAAATTGCAACATTCTGTTTGAGTCCAATCCATAAAAAAAGTATATGATCATAGGTGAAATTAACAGATAGATGAGGATCAAAAATGGATGTGATTTGGTTAGGCAGTAGCCTTGAAATTAAGGCATGTGTTTGCATTACATCTATTCTTGCCAATTGGAAAAATACTATTGTTCCTCCATACAAAGGAAAGTATACTAAAATGAATGCAAAGACAACAGAACTATTAGCTTATTATTTATTATTTTTGTTACTTTAATTTTATGTATCAATTCCTCCAAATGGTCGTAAAGCTAATTTTTCATCACCACTGTAACTGTGAATTCCTCAAAATCTCCAAGACTATCTTGAAATTATAATAATAATGAATTTTGGTACTTATTTAAGTTATCAGCATTATGCAAATTAAACAAAGTTTATCTATATTTATTGATTTATAAAATTTAATTCACTAATCAAATACAAGGGTATAACAGTCTTTTTTGCCTGTTCTTTCGTTTGTGACATTTTATGTCAAGATTTACTATTGTAGCCTTAAGAGCTAGAAAAAAGAACAGTATGTGAAAAGTATGTGATCCTATAGATGTTTAAGGGAGGTTTATTTCCATGAAAATTATATAGAATTTCAGTTCAGTTTTGTACAATATTCATGTGGAACTAATAAGCAAGATATTAAAGTACACAAAACCATCATGATCCAGTCTTCTTAAATATAAAAAACCCATGTCACTACTTTCTGTACTAGTATCACTTATGTCTTTGGAAAAAAGTTTAGACCTGCATTTAGCTTTTTAAGAAATCAACAATAATGCATAGTAATATTATATAATGTATGTATGGATTATATTGCTGCCATTTGGAGGACAAATACAATCAAATCTCTCATCTCAAATCAATACAGCTCAAAGCAGACTCTTCTTACAACTCTCCATCAGTAATAGCCGATTGTATCTTTCAATCCCAGGCTGACCAAATAAGGCTTTTGATGCTATATTGCAATGCCTGGAAGCTACACAGGCCTAGATGGGGAGAAACTGCTTCCAGTTGAATTCCAACTAAGACAGTTGGAAACTCTCAGGCCTAGGGATTTTCCAACATTACTTCTGGATAGGGTTGCACTTCCCCAATTAGGAGTGATATGCAATGTGTGCATTCCCTAGAGATCTTTCTAGATAATCACAACCCTTGTCACCTCATGGTTCAACCCACTCTGCACATTGCTGTCTTTGAAGACCACTTGGAAGATTCAACTAGTACAGAATGTAGCAGTATGTGGAGTTATGGACTTGTCCAGAGGTGGTATTCTGCAGGTTCTGACCAGTTCTGGAAAACTGATAACGGAGATTTTGAGTAGTTCAGAGAACCGGCAAACACTATCTCTGACTAGTCCCGCCCCCACCTATTCTCTGCCTCCCAATACCCAGGCTGGGTCTTCTTTTGTTGCCCTGCACAGGAGAATGGAGCTGGAAAGCAGGTTGGTGGGGTGGGGAAGGAATGGAGAATTTGCAGTAATCTTCCCCTGCTGTGCCCACCAAGCCACGCCCATCGAACCCGGTAGTACAAGATTTTGAATTCTACCATTGAACTTGCCAGAGTACACCTATGGTTGCCACTGTGCATTTGGATCAGATTCAAGATTTATTATTGTCTTCTGTGGTTTCTGCCTATTTGGTATGATCTGGCAGATTCAAGACTCCTTAATAAATAGTGTCATCTTTCAAGACCCAGGAAGTGCACTTTCTCTGTAATGGCGTCTTTCTTCTGGAATGAGTTCCCCCCTTTGATGGGCAAGCTGTTTTTTTAGTATAACTGGAAACATATAATAAGAGTTCGTGGAATTATATTCCACTATTCCAAGAAGTGGGTGAAAAGAGCATGAAAACCTACATTTATTTACATTTATTTAAAAGTTATCCCAAAAGCTCCCGTTAAGAGATACCACTATTGAAATGCAAACATCTTATGTCTGCATTTTTGCAATGGGCACTTCACCAATCTCACCACAACAGTATTTGAGTTAATCAATAACAGACCATGGGGTCAGTGACTGTTTTTGGAATTTAAAATATGCTGGTTTTTTTAGTGTTGGGAAAGATCTACAATGATGGATGCAGATGTAATGATGGAGCTCAGATATAGGAAAGAATCATGAAATCTGATCTAATTCATGCTTATTATTTAAAAAAATCCTAGGATGTATATGAGGCTATAATTTTAATTTTATATTCAAATTACTGCTGATACCTTTGAAGAGTTTTTTTATTTACATCATACCAAAATCATAATCAGATCCTTGGCAGTTCATGTCTTATAATACATAATGATAAAATTAAAAAATACAAAAGCTTACTAGCTTCCGGTAAGCAGCCTCCAAGTATCCTCTGAAAAAGCTGTTTTTAGCAGTTTCTGAAAGGTGAGTACATATGAGACTAATTGGACTATCTAGGGAAGGCTATTCCAGGTGACCAGTCTGATTTTAGAGGGCAGGGAAGAATATATACCTGGGCTTCATCTCCTCCAATAGCCAGGATCCTGATCACTCAATTTTGCCCCTTAAATCTTCCCAAGCTGCAAAAGGCAGCCACACATTTTGCATTCCTGTTCTGTGTAAAAGTACTATGAAGAAAATATTGAATATACAAATATCTTAGAACATACATTTAAAATACACCATGAAGAAACTATGAATATGTATTATTGCCACCTCAAAGCTATTAATGCTTAAGAAGTAATTTTAAGTCTGATGACTATCAAAGGGAGAGAGTTAGTGGTTTATTCTCCAAAAGTCATAAGTAGGAAATAAAGTGCTCAATAATGTATTTTGGCTAGACTGTGTTTTTACTCATTATTATTATGCTTCAGAAATTCCTCTTTCTGAATACTGCTGGGCATTTTCTTATTGAAATATTTCTTATTGCTTTATTAATACCCATCATGGTTGCAATATACTGTATTGTTGGGCTTCTGTGATATGTGAACTTAGTCAATAGAATAGATTTCTGAAGTTATATGTAGGGCTATACTTCTATGACACAATAGTTATTTTGTGAACAGAAAAGAAAAATAGGATTGGGATACTTTTGTTATGCTATTTCACTATATTCTGCAAATAAATTTCAAAAATGAGATTGACCACATAGATTGCTTGGCTTTGATGTGCTGGTTAGAATGCTGGATCAGAAACTAGAAAACCATACATTCTCATTTTCCCTTAGGGATAAAACCTGGCCCAATTATAGGTAGTCCTTGGGTTATGACAGCAATTGGAACCAGAATTTCTGTCTCCAAGTGATGCAGTCTAAAGTACAATGTCAATCCCTGAGTCTGAGTTGCTGTCAAAACTCCCAGGTCCATGCAGGAAGAAACAGGAATTCCAGGCAAGCAGGTTGATAGGTTATAACTGCAGGTGAGCATTATGAGTGGGTGGGTGCTGTGGAGTACAGCTGCAGGTGTGTGGGTACTGCAAGAATGTACCATAAGCAGGCAGTAGAAGCATAGGTGGGTGCACAGATGCTCATGGCTGGTGGAAATGCAATGGGTAGGCACTATATAAAGATGCAAAAAAAGAAAAGAAAAACAGGAACTTAGGACCACATATTGGCTTCCTCACTGACCTTCTTTTTGGGAAGCCAAGCAAGGAACACTGGAAATTGTAATAATATGATATGACTTTCTTCAACATCATAATTGTGAAAAAGCAGCTAAGGTGCTGAGAACCTGGATTGCAATCACACAACTATGGGGTATCACAATAGGATCTAAAGATCCCCTTTAGCATTACTGTAACTTTGAACAGTCACTGAACTTTGAGTAGTTACAACCAGAGGACCACCAGTACTTTCATCCTAATCCCACTCACAAGGATGCTGATGTGGGAAAAATATAAGGATGGAACATTGGGGTGTTTTTTAATTACAAAATGATACAGAATCAAGCAAGGAGGAATATCCAAAGACTATAGGATTTTCAATCTTACTTTAGTAAATGTGTATAAAATCAATTCAGCATCAATTCCCATGTAACTTTTGAGATAGGAGAAAGTTATAGTTCGCCTGTGAAACGAATGATAGAAGAGAACACTTTTACAAATAAAATGTCAGTTTTAATTAATCAGATACTTATTTGCTTCTCTTATTGATAAGGCAATCATCAGTGCTAATCAGGACCTTTTTGCTGAGCTGCATTTATTGAAGTCTGGCTTGATTCCCCCCCCCCCCCCAAGAACTCAATTATCCATTCTAATTTCACTGTAACATTTCTAAATCTAATGACATGTGCAAAGAATATACTGAAGAGTATTTTGTTTCAAGAGTACATAATATTGTAAATATGCCCCTTTATTCACCAATTTCCAATAAAATAAGTATCCAACCTGTGGCAAATAGTTATGGGGCATATTTTGCTGTTGTTAAAGTTTTACCATTTAAACCTAATTAGGAAAATCAGATGTAAAATAAGACTGGGTTCCCCTACTGTGAACTGCTGTATTTAAAGCCTAATTTCAATTAGATTTAGCTCGCATAAGAATCCTGTCCCCAAAAGTTAACACTGAAATGTTAAAGTTGCAAATGGAGAGAGAGGCAGATCTGTTTGCTAAAACAGACTTTGTACAGCACTCGTCTTAATAACGAAACGCTAATATTTGCACTCCTGATATCTATTTCCTCCGAACTGGTCTTACTTCAAGCGGAAGAAATTATGCCATCCTAGAAGAACGCAGGTATTAACTGCCTGTCACCTGGGCGGTCATGGGAGGCATCCCGGGCGTTGTAAAAACAACCAGGGACGGCTGCGCTCAACTTACAACCGGCTCGGAGGGAGTTACTTCTCCAGGCATTCAGGGTTAGGGAGGCTTCTCCACGCCCCTTTACCCATTGTCAGGGCCACCTCGGCAGTTTCCGCTCCCGCCTCGGCTCCTTTCGCCTGGTTACCCTCCGCCCTATGGGAGAAAGTCGGAAAGTTTCGGGAGCGCTGCTAAGTCTTCTGGGACTCGCTTCGGGAGTTCCGCGCCGCAACCAGGCAACTCACCTGGGGGAAGCCGCAGCCTCCGCAGTCTTCTTACGAGGCAGCATCAGAGGGTAAGCTGGAGCCTGCTCCGGCGCTTAACGGCGCTGGTTAGGGCACTATGAATGCAAAACTTAGTCGAAGCCGGGAGTTGGAGAAAGGCAACTGCTCTGTGGGGGAGCTATGTAGTCCGTGGGAAGGCGAGAAACGCGCGTTCCACAAAGTTAGGTTAAGACAGGGATGGAAAGCCTGTCTTCGAGGCTTCCCATCGTCCGTCCACATGGGTCTGGGAGGAAAGCGGAGAGGTCAGAGAAGAGCAACTTTAATAGGCGCTTCTCGCGCGTGAGAAAGAAAAGAGTGGTGCGCGTAGAGAGAGTGTGAGAGCTACAGCCATTCCAGCGTGTGATTAAGTTGGCTGGGATTTGAGTAGCCGAGAGTGCCCAGATTTCCTGGTAAACGGAGATGGGGGGCGGGCCAAAAGAGAAGCGGAGCGGAGCTCGAGCGGCTGCGGGAGACCCAATCGGGGGCCTGCCCTGGGGATCTGGAAGAGCACCTCCCTGGAGACAGCGCGCTCGCCTCACTCGCTCCCTTTTGTTTCCTGCAGAGGGTTGCGTGGAGTCCTCCCCAGCCCGCTCGGTGACTCTCCTTTGTCGGCCAGCAACTTTTGCCAGTCCGCTCGGTTAGTAAACCTCGGAAGGTCGGGAGCCACGTCGGGGCTCGTTGAGAGGGCGCCAAGGAATCGGCAGCTTCCCTGAAACATGGCCACCGGGGGCTATCGGGGCAGCGGCGCCGCTACGACCGATTTCTTGGAAGAGTGGAAAGCTAAGCGGGAGAAGATGCGGGCCAAGCAAGCACCGCCGGCCGGGGGGAGTGATGGCAAGACTGCCCCCAATACTGCCACCAGCGGCGGTGGCTGCAGCACCGCGACCGCCGCCGAACTTAATAACAACAATGGCAGCAGCGGCATGAATTGCATCCCTCTGGCCAGAAACACTCCGAAGGAGCCCCAGCCGACAGCCGGAACCAGAGCAGGAACCGCGGAGCCCCCGGGGAACAGAACCAGCGCGGCGCCAACTTCCCCCGAGGAGGAGAAAGTGGCTCCCAAGGGCAAAGGCTCCTCCGGCCCCAGCGCCCGGAAAGGAAAGGGGCAGATCGAGAAAAGGAAAATGAGGGAGAAAAGACGCTCGACAGGTGTCGTGAACATCCCGGCCACCGAGGTGAGTCGGCGCTGGGTCAGGAGGGCCGGCGCTGGGGAGGAAAGGGCGGCCCAGCCCGGGAGGAGAGCCACGCCTCTCCCTTCGGCTGCACCTGAGGAGCCTGGCGGCTTGCGAGACGGCGGCCCCTCCCCGTCTCTCGGGCCTGCCTGGGCTGCCTCGGTGGTGCGTGAGGGTGGCTGCCTACAAATTGCTTTGCGGGCAGCGGGAGGCCGCTGGAATGAAACTGCTCAAGGCGCTAAAACCACAGAGCGCTTCATTCATTTCTGTGGTTGTGTGCTTTTGGCTTGAGAATTGCAGTCGAATCCACCTAAATGGATCGAACTGGATTTAGCGCGCGTGTTAAAGTTGGGGCTGTTGTTTTCCATTAAAGAAGGTAGCCTTGGTTTTATTGTGTTTATATGAAGTTACTTAAACTGCTTGGATCCGGAACAGCCTTACTTGACCAGCTTGCAGATTTCACAGGCTTGCAACAGTGACTGTAGATCTGTAGAGTTTGGGTAAATTTTTTAAAAAAAACCATGGTAGTCTATAGAAGGTTTTTAAAAGTGCAAATAACTTCTAATGAAATTAAAAGAATTCATTATGGATTAGTAAAGTGTTAAGAAAGTCATGAAAAATAGTCTAAAAATATGATTGAAATCCATATACTGTGTTCTGAATATTTTCCCCAAAAAAATATTCTGAATTTTTAAATTGTTTCAAAAATGTTGATCTCTGTTTTTAAATTGTCCTAAAGATGTCGGTCTTATTTAAAATACAACAAGATAATAGAGATGTTATAACCAATACTGTTACTGTCAGGTACTGACCTCTTTTTCTTCTTCTTCAAAGCATTGGTTATAACATCTTGTATTTAACAGAGACCAACATCTTTTAAGACAATTTAAAAACAGAGATGGTACAGTGTTCAAAATAGTTTTTTCCTCTACAATAGTAATGTATGCAGTGGCTTGAAAAGCAGAAAATAACATTTTTGTTAGCTAATACAGCTGTCTGTTTTAAAAACATGTATTCTGGCATTAATTTAAAAAGCTGCCAAAAGTTATAAACATGTGACAATAACATGAGTATCTTTAAAAGGAAAAGCAGAAAACTTAGAAAAAAATGGTATTCACAATCCTTTCTCTTTAGTATTCCAATAATGTAAAATAATACTGCTGTCCTTTTTTTCTGCAAGGTAACATTTGAAATCATCTAATACTTTATTTCACAACAGTCTAATTATTTCACAGCTACTTAATGAGAATCTTAGAGGAGCTGTTGATGAAAACAGTCTTGACTTTTTAATGATATTTCTGCTAGCATCTGCTAAGAGCAGCTGTCTAGGAAGTTGTAACAATCTTGGGCAAAATAATTCAATATCTATTTGAATCTTTAGATTAAGGAAATCTGTTGGGAAAATAGGCATAATCCAAGTTCATCTTATTTCTGCAGTTCTTTCAAAGGAAAACTGATTCATTTTTTGCCATTGGATAAGTCATACTGTTCAGTAGCTCCATCTTCCAAAAGTCATTTTTTGGCTACTTATTTATTCTAACATGTGACTTGACTTGAGTTTGAAAGATAGAAGGCATGGTTTCTTTGAATATATGACTTCACAAACCTACTTTTATATATTTTTCAGCATATTTGATATATCAGAGTCCCCCCCCCCCATTACCATGAAAACACTGATATAGCAATTAGAAGATAGCTACATTATGTCTTTTATTATCTACAGATCGTGAATAATTTGAACAGATTGACTTAGGTATAACTTTCTCTTGCCTACCGCTAACTAGTTTTTCCAGTCTTGAATTAGGTAAAACAATTTTTGTTGTCATTGTCCTGTTTATTAGTTCTTTTCTCCCTTCCATTCATTTAAATTGATATTTAGAATGCCATATTGTGTCTACTCCAATAGATCTTACCATCATGGATAATATTTATTTTAAAGTTTTGAAGCAGTTCTAAAATTGTCCAAATCTTCAAAATTTGCATGCATGCATAACCCTCCCAAATGCGCCATGAGCTTCTGTGCATGCGCAAGTGCCTCCTGCGTGCCGCCGCGCCCCCTCACATGCATGCCAGATACCTGACAATCAACGGGCGGGCGGCAACTTAACAAATATGGCAAGAAAAGTCATAAAATGAGGCAAAACTCACTTAACAAATTTATTATTTAACAAACATAAATTTTGGGCTCAATTGTGGTTGTATGTTGAGGACTACCTGTAAATAAGGGTAGAAACAAAAATACTATTCCCAGCTTACTCAGGTGCTCCAAAAGATGCCACTGTCAATGGCAACAAAGGCCACTGATATAGCTAATGGCATCAATAAAGTATAGTTTACTCTAGGTAAACTCTGTATCTGTGCCAAATGCAGACCTAATCCCACACTAAAAAGGGTTTTGATAATCTATTTCCTACTAATGTGTTTGGAGTCACACCACAAATGCATTGTTTACGGTTTGACTAAATATGAAATATTGGACACTTGTTCAGATTATCAAACGTCATTTAGTGGGTTATTATGGAGCATTATTTCATTGTTAAAACTGTAACAGATTTAGAACAAAGTCTCTGAGCAAAAAGGTGACAGAAGGTTATGTGTGGATGCCCAGATATATGCCCTGATGCAGTCCGAGATGTGGCCTTTGAGATCAGAAAGACTGGAGTTATGGGCTTCAAATAGGTTTGCCGGATGATTTGAAACAAAACAGGTGAAATATGGAAAGATACACTTTTGAATATAGTCTCTAATAGAGAGAAGTAGCCTTTTTTATATAATGAGATCAGAGGCTTTAATATAGTTGAGGGAGGTAGAATTGGTGAACTGAATGCCATGAATGGAAATGCATACAATAGAAAGGTTAACAAAGGGAAACATAGGTGTATTGATGAAGTAAAATGTGGACTTTGATCTTGAACACAAAGGTGTATAGAAAACCAGAGAAAGGATTCTGATTTCAGGTTACAGTAGGTGGTAATGAGCACAAAAGTGCCCCTAGGGAAGCCAGGAAGGATTTGGAAGACCCAGTGCAAGCTGTACGCAAGTAGAGGGTGAATGGTAGAGGACTAGGGAGGACCTGCAGAGGCAGTGCATGGGCGGGTGTATGTATGCTATGGGTGGGAGCAAATTACTGTAATGATGACTTCGTTTGTGGGAAGCTGGCAGGGAAGGTTGCAAATGGCGATCATAGCTCCTTGCTATGTCATAATCATGAGCTGAGTGCCCAGATTGTGATCACATGATTGCATGGGTGCTGTGATTGCCAGAACTTCAAGGATCAGTTTGTATGTACATCTTTTCAGCAGCACTGTAACTTTGAATTGTGGCTGAATGGATGAATCGAAGCTGAAGACTGCTTATAGAGCATCTTGTAGTATGAATAATGGATGTGTTAGATGAGTCTGTAATTTCTGGATATATAAAGGGTGATGAACTTGCTTGGCAGCTATACATATTAAGCATATTTGTTTATATGTACTTTTTCACTATATAATTTATATTTGAAGTATTAATATATTTCAAAATATTAATTGAAATATTTACAAACTAAAATATTCTATGTAGAATTTAATTACCACTTCTTGGAAGCAATTCATGTTGTGCAATATGTTTTAACAAGTAGATTATGAATACTTTTTTAACATACATCTTCATTTACACATAACCATGAATTTAACCAGATATTCTAGCACAGGGCTGTCAAACTCCCGGCCTGTGAGCCAGATGCATCATGTGCTGACCACACCCGGTTTAGTGAAGGAGAAAAAAGTCCCGATATGTCACGTGAAGGCACTGTGACAACATGAGTTTGACACCCCTGTTTTAGAAGCTTCAGTATATTCTTCTAGATATTGTTCTGTAGTACAAACAACATGGAATTTTAAAGTACATTATATTGTACAATGCTCAAAAAAATAAAGTGAACACAAAAATAAGACATCCTAGATCTGAATGAATGAAATATTCTTATGAAATACTTTGTTCATTACATAGTTGAATGTGCTGACAATGGAAATCAAATTTAGCAACCCATGGAGGTCTGGATTTGGAGTTACACTCAAAATTAAAGTGAAAAAAAAAACACTATAGGCTGATCCAACTGTGTTGTAATGTCCTTAAAACAAGTCAAAATGAGGCTCAGTAGTGTGTGTGGCCTCGACGTGCCTCCCTACAACGCCTGGGCATACTCCTGATGAGGTGGTGGATGGTCTCCTGAGGGATCTCCTCCCATACCTGGACTAAAGCATCCCCCAATTCCTCGACAGTCTGTGGTGCAACGTGGCGTTGGTGGATGGAGTGAGACAGTGATGTCCCAGATGTGCTCAATTGGATTCAGGTCTGGGGAACGGGCGGGCCAGTCCATAGCATCAATGCCTTCGTCTTGCAGGAACTGCTGACACACTCCAGCCACATGAGGTTTAGCATTGTCGTGCATTAGGAGGAACTCAGGACCAACTGCACCAGCATATGGTCTCACAAGGGGTCTGAGGATTTCACCTCGGTACCTAATGGCAGTCAGGCTACCTCTGGTGAGCACATGGAGGACTGTGCAGCCCCCTAAAGAAATGTCACCCCACACCATTACTGACCCACTGCCAAACCGGTCGTGCTGGAGGATGTTGAAGGCAGCAGAACGTTTTCCACGGCATCTCCAGACCCTGTCACGACTGTCACATGTGCTCAGTGTGAACCTGCTTTCATCTGTGAAGAGCACAGGGTGCCAGTGGCGAATTTGCCAATCTTGGTGTTCTCTGGCAAATGCTAAATGTCCTGCACGGTGTTGGGCTGTAAGCACAACCCCCACCTGTGGATGTTGGGCCCTCATACCACCCTCATGGAGTCTGTTTCTGACCATTTGAGCAGCCACATGCACATTTGTGGCCCGCTGGAGGTCATTTTGCAGGGCTCTGGCAGTGCTCCTCCTGTCCCTCCTTGCACAAAGGTGGAGGTAGCAGTTCTGATGCTGGGTTGTTGCCCTCCTACAGCCTCCTCCACGTCTCCTGAGA